TGCACATAGACTATTTATTTCATATTTTGGCATCACATGGTTTGGGCACAACTTTCTGCCCAGACACCAACCCTTTCTACTTCTGTTAGTTTCAGCAAGTTATTTATGTTCTCTTAGCTTGAGCTTCCCCCTATAAAATAAAAATAATTGTATATACTTAGAATGATTTTGAAGTTAAGCAGGTTAATTTAACTAAAGTATTTGGTACTGCTGTTGGACTGTAACATAAATTAGTTGAAATGTGACAAAGACACAAAGATCAGAAAAGATTAGATATCATTATTATTTTGTAAGCAAAAATTAAACCAGTTTTTTTTTTTTATTACCTGTGATGTGGTGTTATTGAGATTAAACCCAGGGCTTCACACATTCTGAGCATATCCTCTACCACTGGGCTCTATCCCCAGCTCTGTTTTACCTAGTTAAAAAGGTTAACAACAACAGGAAAAAGATGTTTAAAATTTGGTCAAAACTGTTTTGGGAACAGATGTTAGAAAAGTTCCCTGGAACACTCAAAAGAGGAGTTCCTGATACTGAAAAATATCCCTATCATAGTGCAATAATAATCTCATAGGGAACATTCATTATTTTGCTGGGTTTTGTTTAATGAGCTGAATAAATTACAATAAACTGTTGATTCTTGCCCACAAATAACAATCTATAGGAAAAATAAAGTAATAACAGGAAATAATTTAAGAATCCTGTGTGCCCTGGAAATAGAAGTTGACAAAGGAACACTAAAGGAAGCTGACACATTAGGAGAAAATAAACAGAATGGCTTTTCCTTATATTCTTGGTCTGCATCAGACAGATGAAAGCAAGCGTTTTTCTGAGGAACCAGTTGGAGTGCACCCCTTTGTAAGTTCCCAATGAGTAGGAAATAAATGAATCCAGACTTGAGAGTATCAAGGAGTAATTGTCTCTGAGGATAGTTTTCTGAAGCATTTTGAGTACTGTCATTGGTAGAATTGGTGTTCATTTTTGGGTCTGGGTAGGAAAATACTGATCTGAGGGTATGATGGTTAACTATAATGCATTCAACATCAGCTGGACTTTTTTTTTTTTTTTTTGCTAGCCCTAAGGCTTAAACTCTGGGTCAGAGCACTGTCCTTGGGCTCCTTTTGCTCAAGGCTGGAGCTCTAACACTTGAGCCACAGTGCCACTTCTGGTTGTTTTTGTTTTGTTTTGTTTCTGTGATTAATTGGAAATAAGAGTCTCATAGACTTTTCTGCCCATGCTGGCTTCGAACCACAACCCTAAGATCTCAGCCTCCTGAGTAGCTAGGATTACAGATATGAGGTACCAGTACCAGCTGAACCCTTAAAAAAAAAAAAGTTCATTTTTATTTGGCCACTTGAAACAGCAATTATTTTTTAAATTTGTGGTTATAAATTTAAACATTATCCTTTCCAACTTCAGAATGAATAGTTTAAGCTACTGCAGTGGTTTACACTGATACCAGTTTTCTTCTGTTACTATAATTGCATTTCTGCATCTCTCATTTTAGTTCAGTTTGTAATCTTAGTTGTGATTATCAGCCCTGTACATTAAAAATAATTGTATGAGGAAAAAAATTCTTACATTTTTCGACTACTGTAATTAACATACCCATGGTCACAGACGTTCCTCCCCTAAATCCCCTCTTTTTGTTAAAATGCCTAACTATGTTGTTTAGAGTCATATGTGTAGCTCTGGCTTGCCTGGAACTCAGCCTCCCAAGTGCTAGGAGTATAGGAGTGTGCCAGTCCACCTGACTAAACTATGTATTAATTTTTTATTCTCTATACTCAGTCTAATACCAAGGTTTTCCAAAATCTCTTATTTCTCATTGCTCCTTATGTCTGTTTTCATTCCTTCCTAGACCTTTATGGCCTCAGACCTGTCTGTAATGCCTAGAAAGACATTAAGCTGATCTACCTAACAACCGTTTTTAATTTTTCCTTCTTACTGAAGTAAACCCCGCTTACTTGGAAAATAGATAGATAAATGGATAGATAGAATAAGCAAGATCTTCTGATTCTGATCAGTAATACTAGTACCTCAGGAAAGAAGCATAGTTCGAAGCCAGCCCAGGTGGAATAACCTACAGAACTCCAGTTAGCCAGCAAAGTGCTAGACTAGGGGGTATGTCTCAAGTAGTAGACACCTATATTGACCAAGAAAGCTATGTGAGACAAAGAGGCCCTGGGTTCAAGCCCCAATACTGGCACACAAAAAGAAATTTTATAAGCAAAATTGTTAAATTCTTTTTTGACAATCCTGGGACCTGAACTCGGGGTCTTGGCACGGTCCCTGAGCTTCTTTTGTTCAAGGATAGCACTCAATCGAACCCAGGGCTTCATGCATGCTAGGTGAGCACTCTACCACTAAGCCACATTCCCAGCCCCTCAAAATTGTTAAATTCTTATATGTGCATTAAACAACTTAGTTGATGCAGAGAAGCTCTCATTCAGTCCTGTACATTTCAGGTGTGTTTAAGTTATATTTTTTGTTGTTTTCATACCCTTTAGTTTGGCACCTAAAATGTAAAGTTATGATAATCCTCCCAAGCCAAAAAGGCTATGTGAATCTTTACCTTCATTTCTGCATGGAATACAGGAAATATTTTTCTTCTCCATTTCTTTCTAGTTTATCCTGTTATAGTAAAATAAAGCCTTATTAAAACTTCAAAACAAAAAAAAAGGGCAAATAACGTGCTGAATTTAAGTAACATGAAAATTTTAGATCTTTTGATAGGTGACTTTTGTTTAGTGGAAGTTGGGTGGTCTGGGAAAATGAGTCAAGCATCTACTGTGTTCAGAATTAACAAAGCATGAAATAAGGTCTGCTTTTTGGTAAATAGTATTGATGTGTAAAATAGTAAATTTGTTACAGTAATATAGGTTACTCTATGAAGCTTCAAGTTATGGATTTTCAAGCTGACTATATTTATAGTATAGGAAAATTGGAACCATACACTGGCTGAAACCAAGATTGTACTGTATTGTCAGACTAATTGTGTGGGTGCAGTTAATGCAAACTGAGCTCCTACTGTGTGTTTAGTACAATGTTAGGTGATAGGAATACACATCAGTTTGAAGAAGAGAGTCAGTTATGGGATATGCAATATACCTGTAATAAAAATATTAAACAAAAGGAAGGAATGTTTTGCCCTAGAGGATTCAGCTTTCTAGCATTAACCCTGGATAGGATGGAGATGTTTCCCTCTAATATTATTAGGCTTGAAGTTTGGAGAGGAAGGAAGTACTTCATGACATATTTTGAGTATTATTATACAAGTGCTATGCTACAGGTCTTGGATACAACAGGTCCTGGATACAACTCTTTAAGTGGTCAAGCAAGAACCTCTCAAAGGAAATAAAGGATACTTTCTAGCCAGAATTGGCTAGAAAGTAATGTTCTAAGCTAAGGAAACAGGTGTGATGTGGCTTGATGTAAATGGAGTGCCATTGCATACCAGGCACTGAGCAATATTAGTAAAACCTGGACTCTGTTATCAGAAGCTGATACTCTGGGAGCCTTTTATAAATCAGCATTGCAGAAGTTAAAATTATACCTTAGTCCTAGGGCTAGATATGGCCAGGAGAAGTCATTTGCCTCATTTGACTTTGAATTAAGGGACTGATGAATGCGCAGATTTCAAGGTGAATTTCTTTCTTTTTTTTTTTTTTTTTTTTGGGTCCGGTTGTGGGGCCTGAACTCTGGGCCTGGGCGCTGTCCCTCAGCTCTTTAGCTCAAGGCTAGCGCTCTACCACTTGAGCCACAGCGCCACTTCCGGCTTTTTTCATTTTGCTTATGTGGTGCTGTGGAATCGAACCCAGGGCCTCAGGCATGCAAGGCAAGCACTCTACCACTGAGCCACCTTCCCAGCCCTCAAGGTGAATTTCTTAGTGCTGAGTTTGTTGGGCTATTTCTCAAAGATGGATCTGATATGCCTACTGATCTCATAAGAGAGTAGTGGTATATAAAAGAAAGTATGTCAGCTGGGCTCTGGTGGCTCATGTCTGTGATCCTAGCTAGTCAGGAGGCAGAGATCTGAGGTCCAAGGTTCAGAGCCAGCCTGGGCAGGATAGTCTGTGAGATGCTTATCTTTAATAAACTACCAAAAAAGCTAGAAATAAAGTAGTAGAGTGCTAGCCTTGAGCAACAAAAGCTCAGGGACTGCACCCATGCCCTGAGTTCAAACCTTAGGACAGATGGATGGACACACACACACACACACACACACACACACACACACACACACACACACACACACACACACGAGTTTAGTCTACAGTGCACAGATAAAGAATTATCCCTTTTACACTGGTCACTCATTGTCCCTTGAGTTTATGACTTTGTTTCTATTGAAGAAATATGAATAAATTCAAGTCAGTTTCAACAGAAAATGATTTGTATAGGAATGAATGAAGCAAACAGTGACTCTGTAGTTTCCTTAAAATACAAAGCAAAAAAAACTGTTTTGCCTAAAAGAAAAGAGAGAGCAGGTTTATAGTTGCGAGCAAAAATAATTATTTCCTCTGTACTTGTATTGGGATGTTTTGGTTCGCTTTTCAGCTCTTATAGAATCTCATATGACAAGTGAAAAAAATGTACTTTTGGCATTATTTTATTGAGTGTTTTAGGAACTTGTAGTCAGGCACTGGTGGTTCATGCCTATAGTCCTAGCTATTAAGGAGGTTGCAATCTGGAAGATTATGGTGTGAAGCCAGGTGGCCAGAGGCCCTGAGTTCAAACTCCAGTACTGGAAAAAGAAAGTCAAGTTATACCCAGCAACTTATGCTTATGCATACCCACTGCTTAGGTGCAATTGAGACTTGATATTGGTATAGTTTTAACAGCCTTTGGAAGCTGTTACAATAGCTTCTTTCAAGGAAAAATCTCACTTTTATGCAAATAAAACAGATGACAATAAATTTGTTTTTGGAAAGTAAATCCAGGTATCTTAATTGTCTGAATTTTCTTAAATTCATCCTTTTTACATTTCTGTTCTTTAGGTCTGCCAAAATGTCTGAAAGATCAGATCTCCTTCACTTCAAGTTTGAAAATTATGGAGATTCAATGTTACAAAAAATGAACAAATTAAGAGAAGAGAATAAATTTTGTGATGTTACAGTTCTCATAGATGATACTGAGGTACAGGGGCATAAAATTGTGTTTGCTGCAGGTTCCCCCTTCTTAAGAGACCAGTTTTTACTGAATGATTCCAGAGAGGTGAAAATCTCCATATTACAGAGTTCTGAAGTGGGGAGACAATTGCTCTTATCCTGTTATAGTGGTATGCTGGAATTCCCAGAGATGGAACTGGTAAATTACTTGACTGCTGCAAGCTTTCTTCAGATGAGCCACATTGTAGAGCGGTGCACACAGGCCCTGTGGAAATTTATAAAGCCAAAACAACCAATGGATAGTAAAGAGGGATGTGAACCACAGAGTGCTTCTCCCCAGACAAAAGAACAGCAGGGAGATGCCCGAGGCTCTCCAAAGCAGGACTCACCTTGTATGCATCCATCTGAAGACAGTATGGATATGGAGGACAGTGATATTCAGATTGTTAAGGTAGAATCTATTGGGGATGTATCAGAGGTTAGAAGTAAAAAAGATCAGAACCAGTTTATTTCTTCTGAACCCACTGCTTTGCATTCATCAGAGCCCCAGCACTCCCTAATAAATTCAACTGTGGAAAACAGAGTAAGTGAAATAGAACAAAACCATCTCCACAATTATGCCCTCTCTTATACAGGCAGTGATAACATCATCATGACCTCAAAAGATGTCTTTGGGCCTAATATTCGAGGTGTAGACAAAGGCTTACAGTGGCATCACCAATGCCCAAAATGTACCAGGGTGTTTCGTCACCTGGAGAACTACGCCAACCATTTAAAAATGCACAAACTCTTTATGTGTCTACTCTGCGGCAAGACTTTTACTCAGAAAGGCAACCTTCATCGACATATGCGTGTGCATGCCGGAATTAAACCTTTCCAGTGTAAAATCTGTGGGAAAACCTTTTCTCAGAAGTGTTCCCTACAGGATCATCTTAACCTTCACAGTGGAGATAAGCCCCATAAATGTAACTATTGTGACATGGTTTTTGCACATAAGCCAGTTTTGAGGAAACACCTTAAGCAGCTGCATGGCAAAAACAGCTTTGATAATGCCAATGAGAGAAATGTACAAGACCTCACAGTGGATTTTGATTCTTTTGCATGTACAACAGTCACAGACTCTAAAGGGTGTCAGCCACAAACTGATGCCACCCAGGTCCTGGATGCAGGTAAACTGGCCCAAGCTGTCTTGAACTTAAGGAGTGATAGTACATGTGTGAATTGAGTAGGGGCTTAATGCTCACACTTAGAACTGACTGAGAATGTGGCATTAGTCTGAAGTCTTTAGGAATTATTTTGTTAGTTTGCCTTTCCAAAGCCTCTTGTGTAGGTGGTAGTGATTGAGCAAAAGCACTAATAGACCAGGCAACTTACCACTTGGAGTGGTTTTGCCTTCCTTTTGCCCTCTCCCATTTTCTTTTTTGAGTTATTTATCCTGTGATGTCTGTTTTCCTTTCTCAAGGAATAATTCCATTTGTCTACCTGATGTTAATTTATATCTTAGACTGACAATAGTTTAGGCTCTTTTACCAAGCACATTTTGAAGGTACCAACAAATTAATAGCATAACCTACTTTTAATAGATGCTATGCCATGAAAAGTGAATAATATTTTTCTTTGGCAAAAAGCATGGGTTGAGATATAAAGTAATACTGCTGTTGTTCTAAATATGTGATAGCATCCACTGGATGCCTACTGATTATTCATGTCTGAAAACATGTGAATCTGCCTTCTATCATTTGTACCTGTCGTGGAAGCTGGATATAAACAAGTATGTAGATTTGTTCTGTACTTTTCAACACTATCTCATTGAAATACTCCCATAGACCAGAGTACAATCTTTTCAGCAACATTTGGCAGACAAATAATTTGGAATTGCCATGAGGAGCATAATCAGCAAAGGTCAGAAATGCAATTATACAAGAGCACTTATGTGGGAGGTTTTCCAGGTAGCACGTCCCAGCAAAGCACTAGATGCTTATGATATTATGTAACTTACTTATTGATGCTTTCATAATCAGGATTGCTTCAGGTACACTTAAAATGTGTTAAAAGAATTGTTGTATCTAGAACTAAACTATTTAGGAGTTTCTGAATTTTATAACTTCCAGAAAATGAGTTTGGAGATCAGAGTTGTGTCCAGGACACTAAATAAATTCCTCAAAATTTTTCTTTATACACCTAATTTCTAAGATAGATGAAAAAGTTAAATGGGACACAGTCAGATTTCTTGCATCCAGATACTCCTCTTAAAGGAAAACTGCCTTAATTTGCCACCTGAGATAGATGGATAAGAGTTGATTTTCCAGTACGGAGAAGCAAAACAACTGGTGTTTCCTAAAACACAATTCCGACATAAAATTTTAATCTTGTTTGTTTCTGGCCCATGAAATAGACTTAGGTAATAGGAATGTTACAGAACTTAAGAATCCTTTTATTTTGTGTGTGTGTGTGTGTGTGTGTGTGTGTGTGTGCATGCATGTGCGTGTGCGCGCGCGTGCATGCACATTTACATATGTGTGTGCTGGTCCTGAGCTTAAAGTCAGGGCCTGGGTGCTGTCCCTGAGCTTCTTTTACACAATGCTAGCACTCTTCCCCTTGAGCCACAGCTCCACTTTTGGCTTTTTGGTGGTTAATTGGAGTAAGAGTCTCACACTTTACTGCCTGGGCTGGTTTTTAATTGTGATCATTAGATCTCAGCCTTCTGAGTAGTTAGGATTATTGACTCTTGGCTTAGATAATGTTAAGACTATCATTTATTCCATTTCTTTCATTTTATGTTGGAGTACCCAAAGCCCAAAGAGGTAACCTGGCCAGAGTAGTTAAGTGATTAGTATGAACAAATTCCCCTTCTTCCCATTATACCTTGGCTTCAAAGGATTCAAGACATGATATAGAATCATGCATTAGCAAAACGCTCCTAGTTCGTATTTTCCTGCTGGCTTTCTGAAACAGTCTAGATTTTGCCAACAAAATATCACAGAGGTACTTATTTATGTTAATTGTTATTTTGTATGTTAATTTTTTAATTTTTATTTTCTGAAAAAAAAAAAAAAAAAAGCAGTGCTGGGATGGAACCCAGGGCCTCATTCATGTTAGGGAAATACTCTACCACTAAGATAAATCCTCATCCCTTATTACTTTTTAATTCGATGACTATAACATTCTCCCCCAGAAAGGAAGGGAAAGGGCAAGTAAAAATAATGTGAGAAAGATCTAAATGTGAAATTTATTTTGTCTAGAAAACTGTTATTTCCGTCAGGATTTTGTTTTTATTTTTGAGCTATGAGATTGCATGTACAGATAATTGGAAAATAGGCTTAATTTATATAGTCAGGGAATTCTTAGGTTGATATAATTTGATGTATTTACATGTGAGTCAGATTTGAAGTATAATTTCTCTTAAATGAGACGACAGTTGAATGACAATACTCATCGGTACCTTGTGCCCAACATCACCCATTATATGACATTATGATTCTTCGTAGCATTCTGAATTTTACATGATCCAGCCAAAGAGTACCAGTTGTATGCAACAGTGAGACTCTACCATGTCAACCACTGTAGCATCATGTCTTCATAGGAAGATTTCGAGTTGAAGTAGTTCCGTTGTTCACATTCATGTCCTCTTTTTGTTCCTAGAAGATTGATCTCTTTAGTTGGAGACTGCTTCTGGATTTCATTCAGTCACTCAAGAAACTGTTTTTTCCTTTTTATCCTGGGGATTGAACCCAGAGTCTCATGCATGCTAAGTATGTGCTGTTCCATCCTGCTACACCTGTAGCCTCAAAAAACATAAGCACCTAGTGTGTGTTTCCAAACTCTGCTAGATATTGAGGATACAAAGGTAAGATTGATATGGTCCCTGCCCTCATAGAGCTTAGGGTTTCATGTGGCCTTTGGGAAACAAGGTGTCAATCTGATTTTATACTAAGAATAATAATACTACCTTGCTTTGTTTAATTACTTAAAATCAACATTTTTATGATTTTTTATTAACACTTCTAGATCTCACTTTTGCAAGTGCAAACCACTGATGTACATTGTCTTCTCTAGTACTTGGCTGGAGAGGTCTTCTGTTTCTGTGAGACATTTTCTAATTTTGGTGAGACTTGCCAACTCTTTACTTACACGTTTCTTAGACTACATTGCAAAAATGTTTCTGATATCAAATACATTTTATAGGGAAAGATGACTTTCAAAACTAGTTATGGTCCTATAGAGGAGGCTGGGTTTTAAAATCTTTGTCATTTGTTTTTATGCGTTCCCAGGATAACTTTAAAAAGGGGATTCTCTTTACCGTGGTTTGTTTTTCTAAAACCTTTTTGTCAGTTATTTATTTATTTAATTTTATAAACCAACTCCAAACTGAAGTGGCAGAGGTAAATCAGATGTTTTTAGTTTGTTTTATTAGAAGATCTGTACATGGGAAATGACCAGTGTCACCACTTCTAAAATACTGTCCCAAACAACCCAGAGCATTTTATTTCAGCTCGTGAATAGCTGTTCTTAATCTGTTGTATGTTAGACATACTATGAACTACCTCTTCACTTATTATGGGGAAGTTTCCTTAATAAAAGTGTGACATTAAAAGTGATGTTGGTTTATTTTTTTCTCCTGTTCCACTTTCCTTTCCAACTTTATGAATTTTAAACCAGGAATGTTTCTGTTCTTTAAAATATACATTAATCATGAATGAGGAATGCTTAGGCTGTAATTCAAGCACACCAGAGGTTGAGGCAGGAATATCACAAATTCAGGCCTACATAGGCTGCTTAACGACACCATCTATCTGAAAAGGGGGCCGAAGGGATTAATTTGCTTTCCGAAGAACATACGGTTCAGCCAGAAATTAGTAGTGTCAGTTATTTCTATGAGAATGAGCTTCCAGGTAGAACAATTGCTTTTAATAACTGGTTCAGGGCTGGGGGTGTGGTTCAGTGGTGGAGCATTTGCTTAGCAATCATAGTACAGACTACTGGCTCAAACACCCCTTTCTTCCGTAAATGCTGGAAGCTTGCTAAGTTACACTGCAGGAATGCAAAGACCACCAAGCTTTTGTGCCACGCTCAAAACTCCCGGTTTGATCTGCAGCACGGGGTGTGATCACTCCACTCCTGGCTGGCATGTCCAGTGCCAGCGAGGGCCCCGGTTCCGCTGAGTGGGGGGAGGAAGCCAGGGAAGAGGTCGCGATGTCGGACGGGGAAAGGTGTACTCAAAGGTTCCGCGCTGGCCGAGAAGCCCGCATACACATTTCTTTGGGAGAGGTTCTCCTTCGCTCTTCCTCTTTTCAAGCTGTGGATAGTCCTCAGACGGAAGTCCGACCCGTCATGCCATCGTCCAGCTTCACGCCCGGACTCCGGATGGTCGGGAGCTCTCGGGCACGGCCAGCGCGCGGAGACCAGGGCAGCGACGACGCTCGAGTTAGCGCTCAGACGCCCTTCAGTTACCGCAGGAGCCGGAGGGAAGAGCGGCTCCGGATGGATGTCCTTCCGGGGCGCCCCCGCCGGCACTGCCGGAGTAAAGCTGGCTGACCCGGATGTGTTTCCTCCCAGGCTAACCCCACCTTCCGGCCTGCGCCGCTGCCGCTGCCGCCGCTGTGGAAACCTCCACTCGTTCTCCGAGTCGGTAAGTGGGCGCGGAGGAGACGATCCAGGTAGCGAGGTTGGGATAGAGGAGAGGCAGGGGGAAGAGCAGGAAAGGGTGGGGGAGAAGGGCCGCCGGGCGCCGCGGCCCAGCGCTCCGTTGGGGCCGAAGACCCTGGCCCGCCAGGTCGTGGCCGGGTGGAGGTTGGGGAAGCCCCGCACGCCGCTCGGGAGGGAGCGTCCCGACCGCCCGGGGTCCGGGGTTAGTGAGTTCCGCAGTGGTGGTTGTGCCGCTGTGCCGAGCCCGAGCCCTGTGCCCCGGGACGGAAACAGGAACTGGGCCCCTCGCCCCGCTCCGGGCCGCTGGCCACCTGTGGGAGGCGGGGACACGCAGTGTTGCTGGGCTTGGGCTTAAAGAAACCGCAGAACTACAGGAGGGAGGCGGGGGCAGGCGCCTATAATCCTAGCTCCTCAGTAGGCTGGGATCTCAGGATCACGGGTAAGAACCCAGCCCGGGCAGGAAAGTCCGGAGAACTCTTATCTACAGTTAACCACTAAAAAAGAGAAAGGAAAGAAAATTGCGGAAGTGGGGGTGTGGCTCAAGTGGTTCAGCGCTTGCTTTGAGGAAAAAAAAAGCTTAGGGACAGGATCGAGGCCCGAGTTCATGCCCCAAGAATCCACCACCACCACCTTCACCTACACACAGCAACTGGGAACGCTGTTATGATATGCAGAGGTGTCATTGTTTTGGCAATGTCAAAATTATTGCTGTCTAAGGAAAACGGACGACGAAAGATACACAATTATAAAGACGAGTTAAGGGCCAATCGCGAAGGAACCTGCATTCTTTATAACAATGAACGGCTGTCCTAGAGGTGGAGGAGAGCAATTACGAATTTAAGGATTTAAAAACAAATTTTAAACCTATTTAATGATGTTCTGGTATTAATTCAGAAGGCTTGTTTGGAATGTAGGAGGGAAAGTATTTAGTCAAGGAGACTCTGGGGAAGACAAACTTGAAGGCCTGCAAGAGTGAGATACAGTAAGAAGTTTGGAGAGGGGCTGGGAAGGTGGCTCAGTGGTAGAGCGCTTGACTTGCATGCATGAGGCCCTGGGTTCCATTTCTCAGCACCACATAAGCAAAAAGAAAAAAGCCGGAAGTGGCGCTGTGGCTCAAGTGGTAGAGCGCTAGCCTTGAGCTGAAGAGCTGAGGGACAGCGCCCAGGCCCAGAGTTCAGGTCCCACGACCGGACCCAAAAAAAAAAGTTTGGAAAATACGTTAAGGTTTCTAAGATGGGATATTGTTTTAAGTGTACTCTTTGCTAATTACTACTTGTTACTGGACATTCAAAATTAGTTTTGACTACAGGGGACAAAAAATTTTAGCCAAGGAGACAAACTTAGAAACTATTACTTACAATTCATTTCTGCAACAGATCATGGAATCTGTACTATTAGATTATTGAGAACTTCATTTTAACTTTCTGGGTTTTTTTTTTTTTTTTGTCGGTCGTGGGGCTTGAACTCTGGGCTTGGGTGCTTTGTCCCTGTGCTCTTCAGCTCAAGGCGATTGCTCTACCGCTAGAGCCATGGCGCCACTTACGGTTTTCTAGTGGTTTATTGGAGATTAGAGTCTCACAGATGTTCTTGCGTGGCCTGGCTTTGAACTGCGATCCTCGATCCTCAGATCTCAGCCTCCTGAGTAGCTGAGATTACAGGTGTGAGCCACCGGCGCCCGGCACTTTCTGGGTTTTGATAGAGGCATTTGGCACCCAGAGTAGAATTTGTGCTTTTTTCCAATTTATGTTCAGATTCTTGATGGGTGAGAAAAATTCTTTCCTATGTCAGTAGGAGACAGCATTCCCTATCTTTACATCAATGTTTGTGTTTTGTTTTGTTTAGACTGTTACCATGGCTGCTGAGTCTGAGGTTCTGCACTTCCAGTTTGAACAACAAGGAGATGTGGTCCTGCAGAAAATGAATCTTTTGAGACAGCAGAATTTATTTTGTGATGTATCAATTTATATTAATGACACTGAATTCCAGGGGCACAAGGTGATTTTAGCTGCTTGCTCCACCTTTATGAGAGATCAATTTTTACTCACACAGTCAAAGCATGTCAGAATCACCATTCTGCAGAGTGCAGAAGTTGGCAGAAAATTATTGCTCTCTTGCTATACTGGAGCACTTGAAGTTAAAAGAAAAGAACTTTTGAAATATTTGACTGCCGCCAGTTACCTTCAGATGGTTCACATTGTGGAAAAGTGTACAGAAGCTTTGTCAAAGTATCTGGAAATTGATCTTTCTATGAAAAATAATAATCAGCACACTGACCTATGTCAATCTTCTGACCTGGATGTTAAGAATGAAGAAGAAAATTCTGATAGAGACTGTGAGATAATTGAAATTTCAGAAGATAGTCCTGTAAACATAGATCTCCATGTCAAAGAAGAGGAAAGCAATATATTACAGTCCACAGTAGAGAGCTTGACATCAGAGAGAAAAGAAATGACCTCACCAGATCTCTCTACTGTAGATTTAGGTTTTAAAGAAAATGAAATTTGTATTCTCCAGGTCGAGTCTATGAGTACACCAGGTGTTGAAAATGGGCAGTTTCCACAGCCTTGTACCTCATCAGAAGCAAATATGTATTTCTCAGAAACACAGCACTCACTGATCAATTCTACAGTTGAAAGCAGAGTGGCAGATGTTCCTGGAAATCAAGGTCAGGGCTTATTTTGTGAGAATACTGATGGAAGTCATGGTACAGTGAATGAGATTCAGAATCTGGAAGAGAGTTATACACTGAGGCACCAGTGTCCCAGGTGTCCTCGAGGCTTTCTTCATGTTGAAAACTATCTGCGTCACCTTAAGATGCATAAACTCTTCCTGTGTTTACAGTGTGGCAAAACATTTACACAGAAGAAAAACCTTAACCGACACATTCGAGGGCACATGGGCATACGGCCCTTTCAGTGTTCTGTGTGCTTGAAGACGTTTACAGCTAAAAGCACACTTCAGGACCATTTGAACATACACAGTGGGGATAGACCATATAAATGCCACTGTTGTGATATGGATTTCAAGCACAAATCTGCCCTCAAAAAGCATTTAACCTCTGTTCATGGCAGGAGCAGTGGTGAAAAACTACCTAGACCTGATCTCAAAAGGCAAAATCTACTATAATTGATATTATGGACTTCCTTTGTAAATCTTGTATCATTCTGTTGGCAAATCTTTCTGTATAAATGGCAGTGCTTATACTATTGAACTCCCCTCACCACCCATTTTTTATGTTTTATTTTTCATCTATTCTTTCTGAACTTTCAATAGTTCCAAAGTTGTAGGAAGGAGGCATAACAAAGTTGATGGGATTCTGTCTTGTTCCATATATATATATATATATATATATATATATATATATATATATATATGTCCTAGAACTATACCTGGAGAAATAGTTTTCTGATCTTAAATATTCCTGATCTCTGTGACAAAATTCAGCAGTATTTGCAGTATTTGACTTACATATTCTAGACCATTGATTTAAATTAAATACAACCATATAATTATTCTGGAATTATGATGACAGAAAAAGTCAATTTAAAAACACTATTATCCATTACTAGACACTTGAAAAGATAGGATTAATTAGCAATTTTTTTTTTTTTTGTCAGTCATTGGGCTTGAACCCTCGGCTTGGGCGCTGTCCCTGCACTCCTCAGCCCAAGGTGAGAGCTCTACCACTTGAGCCACAGTGCCGCTCCCAGTTTTCTAGTGGTTTACTGGAGATAAGAGTGTTAAGGACTTTCCTGCCCAGGCTGGCTTTGAACCTTGATCCTCAAATCTCAGCCTCCTGAGTAGCTAGGATTACAGGTGTGAGCTACCAGCGCCCAGCTAGGATTAGGAAAGTTTTAATTTATAATCTGCTCTTGTTCTTGAAAGTACTTATTTTAAGCCGTAAAGGAACACAATTCAGATTATTTCATAGCCATACTGTAACAACATAATTAGACCGATTTCTTAGTTGTATTTAATATGGATTTTAATATATGTATAGATTTTTGTATCCCCACTGCAATTGGGATACAGAAAGTTTTGTCACTCCCTCAAAACTATGATACCTATCCATTTGCACTCTACTCCCTCCTTGCTGTAAATTCTAACAGTACTTCTTCACTATAATTTTTCCTTTTCCTCAGCATGAGCCTTTTAAGATTCATTCATGTGTTTACCAGTAGTTCATTTACATTTTTATTTTTGCTTTTATTTTAAGGCAGAGTTTCATTGTGTAGCCCAGGCTAGCCTCACACTCAAGATGCTTCTGCCTTAACTGCTACACTGCTAGATTATTAGTGTACATCACCATGACCTAACCGTTCATTAATTTGAATCATCATTTGTATTAGTTGCTGCTATCAACAGATGAACAGTTTAAATGTTGGTAGCTACTCCTGTTAATCACAATTTCTTATTTAGAGTTTTCATTCACTGTGTATTGACAAAAATCGTCAACATCCCTGGGTTTTATTTGGCATTTCTAGAAAGCCAGAATGTGTACTTTAGTGACTAATATTTCAGATGGTGTTCTGAGACATTGCTCTCTAATATTGCTAAATACAATATAAAAAAATTTGTTGTTATAATAAAGATCAAAATATTGAAAGGCTAATCACCTCTTCTAAACACAGGCATTACTTTTTGTAGCGAAGCCTGGACTAGATACATCTTATTACAAGCTTTTTATTCCTCCTTTACTTATCTCAACTTTATTTAGGATTTCTACAGTACTTCATGTCTTGACACTCATGTTTCCAAATGTAATATACTTTGTACCTTGTAAGAATATTAGAAATGTTTTTTTAATTATATTTTTATTATCTTTTAGTAGTTGTACAGAGGATTTAGCATTCAACAGATGAGTTTTATGAATATACTGCATCTTGATCAATGTCACCTGTATTTCAACATTCTCCCCCTTCCTAACCTAACCCCTTTCCCTCATTTTAACTCTATAGGATATGCATTGAATATTATGACTGTATTTTCTATCCCTGTCTTCTCTTCATTCATCTACCTTCCTCACTTCCCTTTAAAGTACCAATTTCCTGCTATTCATTTTGTTGGACTGTGAGTTGTTTTTACGGAATTACACTGTTTGAATTCTTCCCGGCAAGTACCATGCTTCAGTTAATACATTTGTGTATACTTGCATACAAATGTATATGTTACCTGTACATTTATAAATTAGTTCTGGCTTCCACATATGAGAGAAAACGTGTTCTTTGCCTCGCTGGGGTTGACTTACAATTTTTTCCATATCCATTCATTTTTTTGCAATGGATGAGTAAAATTCCATTGTGTGTATATATCACATTTATCTGATCCATTCGTTCATTGAGGGGTATCCAGCCTGTTTATATATCTTAGTGAATAGTGCAGCAGTGAACATAGTTGTGTGGTTGGCTTTATTATAATGTTAAGTATAATTTCTGTGGTACTTTTATTTTTTTTAGTGTCCATAGAATTTTAATTCTGGGAGAGACTTTAAAGAATTTGTTTTCATATTTGTTGAGCAAAACTTTGTAACTAATGCTATTAATGACTTTGGACAGATAGCCTGTCCTTGAACTTTCTGTTTTGTTTTGTGCTAGTGCTGGGGCTTGTGTTTTTGCTTAGGGCCTAGTGTTCTTACTCTGTGTTTTTTGTTTTTTGTTTTTTGACTCATGATTGTGCTGTACCACTTGAGTCACATCTCTAGTTCTAGTTTTAGTCTGGTTAATTGGAGATGAGTCAAATATTTGTCTGCCTCAACCCTTGATCCTCAGACCTTAGTTTCCTGAGTAGGTAGGATTTTAGGTTTGAGCCACTGGCACCAAACTTGAATTGTTCCTAATCTTCTATATAAAGTTTCCTTAATTTACATGTATTTGTATAGTAACTTTGATATTGATCATTTGTAATGTCATTACCAAGCCATTAATATTTAATCCTGAAACAGAGTCTGAATTTTTCTGGTTTATCTTCGCATAATTTTCCAGTTGACTTGAGTGGCCATTTAATAGTTGTAAAAATAATTTCCTTTCATGAATAGTTTGTGATTGAAGTATATCTCTACTTTGACTTCTTCAGATAAAATTTTGGAGGGGAGGGCTAGGGATGGGAAGAATGAATAAACTGATTTTTTAGGAATCAGTATCTACTATCTTGGATATATAAAATTTTTTGGATGGAAGTCCGTTTTAAGTTTTCTGTGCCTTGATTGATGGTTGTAAAAAATTGTGAGCACTTTGAGACTTTTGCTTGGGCTGGGAGGTGTTTTGTAAAAGTGGTGTTGTTATTTATATTATTTATTCCCATTATATAGCACAGTAATCTGGAAACATTCCTAGCAGAATATCTACTTGCATGACATTTCTAAAAGTTTTCAGGAAAATATAATCTTCTAAAATATGCAACTATGGCAAAGTAAAGTGTAGAATCTGTTCGGTTAAACTCTGCTTATGTTTGTCTTTCTTACATGACAGAAATGCATTGAGTTCAGTCTCATACATATCTGATTTGGGGAAGATCATTTGTTGAAAGAGTAAACTCTTGTCCCTTTTCCTTAGATGTAATTATTATATATGATTACACAAAAAATAAACTGGCGATGGTCATGGAGAACTTGGGTTTGCCTACATCTGAATTGCAAAGATGGACACATTTATTCCAAAAACACCAGTCATTATTATGTATACCTGTACTAAAACTTACATGTACATATAAAAATCCCTGCTCTCATGAAACAGATGCATGAGGCAGGTAGATGGATGTAAACAGTAAGTGAAATTAATGTATGTCAAATAACTGAAAAAAAAAGATTTGAACTAAAAGCATCAATACAAATGCCAGAGAAAAGGAATGGGATTTTTATTTTTAAAAGTGATCATTATACCTTGGTTAAATCGTACACCTCTACATATATATTTCATTGCCTTGTGGAATGAAAAAAATAGCCAATAAATATAGAAAAATACACACAGGGTAGGTTGAGAAATTAACTAAACTCACCCATCAACATCCCATTGAAAAATTAGAAGGGCTGGGAAGGAGCTTAGTGGTAGAGTGCTTGCCTAACATACATGAAGCCGAGGGTTTGATTCCTTAGTATCAAATAACCAAAAGGCTGGAAATGGTGTTGAGGCTCAAGTGGTAGAGTGCTAATCTTGAGCAAACGACGCTTGGGGACAGTGCCCAGAGCCTGAGTTCATGGCTCAAGATTCACACACACACAAAGTCAATTTTGTAGGCACTTTTTTTTTGGGTCCGATCATGGGGCCTGAACTCTGGGCCTGGGCGCTGCCCCTCAGCTCTTCAGCTCAAGGCTAGCGCTCTACCACTTGAGCCACAGAGCCACTTCCAGCTTTTTTCATTTTGCTTATGTGGTGCTGAGGAATCGAACCCAGCGCTCTACCACTGAGCCACCTTCCCAGCCTTGTAGGCACATTTCTTTATCTTAGTATAGGATAATGAAAGAAAAGTTTGGATTGGGTAAATGAATCTTTCTTGTGTTTTTCCGTCTACAGGCAGAAACTTTTTTGTTTTTGTTTTGTTATTCTCAATATCTAGCTCAGTATGGCCTTGTGATCTGCCTGCCTCAGCCTTCTGATTACTGGGATTACAGATATGCACCATCAGCACACCCACCTTATATGTATTTTTTATTTTGTGAAAAGGTCTCTATGTAGCACACTTGAATTTGTAATCCTCTGGTCTCAGGTGCTGTATTACAGGTATGCATTATCACACCTGGTGTAACTATAGTTTTTTCTTAGTTTTTAAAATTTAGCTTTTATCAGTTATATAGGAGGAGCCAGATTTCATTATTACATGTCCACACATCGTTTACACTGTATTCCAGTCAATCATGCCCCCCTCTATCACCCCCCTAAGCATTCCCAGCTAACCATCTGTATTTTGTCTATATCCTAATTTCTATTGTTTACTTCCATAGCTTTTTGCTGGGACAACTGGTTTTTACATTGTAAACTATTTACAAGTCATAATCATTCCCTTCACCTGTGTTGGCTTCAGTTTCTCATTGTCTTTTTAGGATTATTTTGATAATATGTAAGTAAAACTAAGATATTTAAGAATCACTTGATGCAGAAAGTTAATTCATGAATTACTACCTATTCTCTATTCTCATCTATGAGAATAGTTCCTCAGAGTTTGCTATGGGAAAAAAGAAATCCTTCAATATATTCATTGAGCCATAATGCCAAAATTTACTTTTCAATTTTGATCCTTACCACCTTTTGAGGAGTTGTAATAAAGAGATCAGGCGAGTTTTGGTAAGGGCGTTACTGGGTGATCCGTTGGGCGTCAGGTTAACACTTCTATCCGGGAGAGTGAAATAGGATGTAACACTGGCGCTATCAGATTCTGCTCATTGGATCACAGGCTTTTCACCATAGGAGCCTAACACACTGGCTCAAAGCGCAGAGGAGCGTGCAGGGAGTTTCCCATCAATCCTTTCGACTTGCCGGTCTTCCCAGCATCTCCCACAGTACTCCCGGGCTCCCTCGTCACGTGACCGGGATGGATTCGCTCCGCCAGATGGAAGCTAAAACGCAGTATAGGTGGTCGGGACTACTACGGTCCTCTGCCACCTCCCTCACGCCCGGGTTTGCGTAATCTCGCGTGAGGTGGAGAGTATCTTCTC